GAACCTGAGAGCTAAAACGGTGTATCAGAAACCGCAGCATCCAAACAGGGACACTTCTTTTGGCTCAGATGTGGTTCTTTCTGCTATACTAGGGGAGGCGGCTTCAATCTTGGTAACCTCGCCTTGTGTGATGTTCTCATATTCGCTAAGAGGAGGCACATTACTGGAAAATTGGAAGCTGGCTCACATCACAAATTTTCAATGAAGGTCGACGCAGTGAACTTTCAAGCTGTCAGCCTGTAGCACTTCTCACAATACCCTCAAAAGGTATGGAATCCCTTATATGCTGTGGTTTATATAACCATTTACTATTCATAAACTTAACTCCGCCTATAGCTCTTCAAGAGTTACTGCCGGTCCCAAGCCCGGGTAAAGGATGAGGGTTGCGCATGGGGTTAGCGTCCACATCCCGTAGAAAACTAACTCGCTAAAAAAACGCTTACCAGAAAAAATAATTCAAACCGTTTTAACTCTGCCCTGGGAGCTAGGTCTTCATTTAGAAGAATTATGACGCTTCATGGTGAAAGCCGAGTTCCTTCGGAAGTCACGAGGTCGATGCTCCTTCTAACAACCAGAGCAAAAATAATTTTGTAGGTACATGGAACGTTCGAACAATGTGGGAAACCGGGAAGACCAGTCAAAAAGCAACGGAAATGAGGAGATACAATTTAGCAGTACTGGGAATCAGCGAAACCCACTGGACCCAAGCTGGACATGAAAGGCTAGCTACGGGAGAGATGCTGCTATACTCCGGTCACGAAGAGGAAAATGCTCCACACACTCAGGGAGTCGCAATAATGCTGTCCAAAGTAGTACGAAATGCACTTGTAGGATGTGAATCTTACGGATCTTGAATCATCAAAGCATCATTCAAAACAAAGAAGGAGGGGATCACAATGAATATTGTCCAATGTTATGCACCCACCAATGATAGCAACGACGACGTTAAAGATCAATTCTACGAGCGACTGCAATCAATACTAGAGAAGTGTCCAAGAAAGGACCTCACCAATCTGATGGGAGATCTAAATGCCAAAGTCGGAATAGACAACACCGGTTATGAAAATATCATGGGACGACGTGGATTGATTGGGAGAGACAAACGAAAATGGGGAAAGATTTGCAAATCTGAGTGCATTCAACAAATTGGTCATAGGAGGCACAATATTTCCACACAAGCGTATACACAAGGCTACATGGATCTCACCGGTCTACACTGCAGCGAACCAGATAGATCATATCTGCATCAATAAGAAATTCCGAAGGACAATGGAAGATGTGAGAACCAGGAGAGGTGCTGACATAGCTTCAGATCACCACCTAGTTGTGTTCAATATAAAACTGAAGCTAAAAAAGAACTGGACAACTGAACAAACAGCAATACAAAGGTTCAATACAGCCTTCCTTCGAGATACTGACAGACTCAATGAATTCAAGATAGCTCTCAACAACAGGTTCCAAGCCTTACAAGATCTACTGAAGGAAGAAGAAACTACTATGGAGGACAACTGGAAAGGCATCAAAGAAGCATTAACTTCAACGTGTCAAGAGGTTCTGGGCCTAAAGAAACACCGTCATAAAGAGTGGATCTCTATAGAAACTCTGGACAAGATCAAAGAAAGAAAGAACAAGAAGACAGCAATTAACAACAGACGAACACGAGCAGAGAAAGTCCAAGCACAAGCTGAATACATAGAAGCAAACAAGCAAGTGAGGAAGAGCATTAGAGCCGACAAGAAGAAGTACGTGAAAGAACTAGCAACGACGGCGGAAAAGCTGCAAGAGAAGGAAATATGAAACAGCTTTACGATACAATGAAGAAACTATCAGGGAAATACAGTAAACCAGAGAGACCGGTCAAAGACAAAGAAGGCAAGCCAATCACCGAAATTCAACAACAGCGTAACAGATGGGTAGAATACTTCGAGGAACTCCTGAATAGGCCGTCTCCAATGAATCCCCCGGACATCGAAGCAGCACACACAGATCTTCCTATAGATGTCAATCCACCAACTACGGAAGAAATTAGAATGGCCGTCAGACAAATCAAGAACGGGAAAGCAGCGGGATCCGACAACACACCAGCTGAAGCACTGAAATCAGACATCGAAGCAACCACAAGCATGCTTTATCTTCTATTCAAAAAGAGGAGGAACAAGTGCCGATGGACTGGAAAGAAAGACACCTCGTCAAGATTCCAAAGAAAGGAGATCTGAGCAAATGTGAAAACTACAGAGGCATAACACTACTGTCAATACCAGGGAAAGTCTTCAACAGATTGTTGCTGAACCGGATGAAGGATGCAGTAGACGCCCAACTTCGAGATCAACAAGCTGGATTCCGTAAGGATCGGTCGTGCACAGACCAAATTGCAACACTACGGATCATCGTCGAACAATCAGTTGAGTGGAACTCATCACTATACATTAACTTCATTGATTATGAAAGGGCATTCGACAGTGTAGATAGGAAGACATTACGGAAACATCTTCGACACTACGGAGTTCCTGAGAAGATTGTCAATATTATCCGGAACTCATACGACGGACTACAGTGCAAAGTAGTGCATGGAGGACAGCTGACAGATGCATTCCAAGTAAGGACCGGAGTCAGACAAGGCTGTTTACTCTCTCCCTTCCTCTTTCTTCTGGTGGTCGACTGGATTATGAAGACCTCAACATCTGAAAGAAAACACGGAATACAATGGACAGCTCAGAATCAATTAGACGATTTGGACTTCGCAGATGACCTGGCCCTCCTATCGCACACACATGAACAAATGCAGATGAAGACAGCCAGTGTAGCAGCAGTCTCTGCATCAGTAGGCCTCAGCATACACAAAGGAAAAACCAAGGTCCTCAAATTCAAAGCGGAGAACAGCAATCCAATCACACTTGATGGCGAAACTCTGGAAGATGTAGAGTCCTTCACATACCTGGGAGGCATCATCGATGAACAAGGAGGTTCAGATGCAGACGTGATGGCAAGGATTGGCAAAGCAAGGGTCGCATTCCCACAATTGAACAACATATGGAACTCAAAACAACTTTCAACCAATATCAAAGTGAGAATCTTTAATACCAACGTCAAGGCAGTTCTAGTGTGCGGAGCTGAAACTTGGAGAACTACAACAACCACCATCAATAAGGTACAAGTATTTATAAATGGCTGTCTACGCAAGATACTCGACATCCATTGGCCGGATACCATCAGCAACAACCTTCTGTGGGAGAGAACAAACCAACTTTCAGCTGAAGAGGAAATTAGAAAAAGACGATGGAAATGGATAGGACATAGATTACGCAAACCGTCAAACTGCATCACGAGACAAGCCCTAACTTGGAATCCTGAAGGGAAGCGGAAAAGAGGAAGGCCAAAGAACACACGTCGGGAAATAGAAGCAGATATGAAAAAGATGAATAACAACTGGAAGGAGTTGGAAAGGATTGCCCAGGACAGGGTTGGATGGAGAATGCTGGTGAGCGGCCTATGCTCCTTCACGAGGAGTAACAGGCGTAAGTAAGTAATTCATAAAAAAATTTTCAGCCCAATAGCATGGTTTCAGAAAATGTCAATGTTGTACAACCAACCTGCTGACCGCGATGGACAGATAAAAGCCGTCCTTGATCTCAAGGAAAAGGTTGACATAATTTATCTTGACTTCTCAAAAGCTTTTGATAAAGTCAACCGTATATTTGTTATCAATAAGCTCAAACGAATAGGTATTAAGTCATTAATAAATGATTGGCTTGCTTCATATTTAAATAAATGGCCGTTTAAACTCAGAGTTAACTTCACTTTCTATCAGGCTATGGATTATTACAGTTGGGTCTTCAAGGGTTCATCATGAGGTCTTCTTTTCTTTATTTCCACAGCAGGTATCGTCAGATTTATTAATTTTCTCTGATGTTATGAAACCCTGGAGAGGGGTTTTCATCCGAAATTGTAAGCTCGCAATTCAGGAGGACTTGAGTTGACTTAAATGTCAGGTAGATAACAATGAACTTACTTTTCACACTTCAACGTGTAAAATATTTCATCCGAGAAATTTTCAAGACTATTCACACATCTTCAGTAACCCCAGTCTTGAAAGATCCCAATTTGGAAAAGGCCTAGGAGTGTTGGAATACTATAACCTGAAATATTGCGCTTACTGTAACAAAAATGCCTTTCAACCAAGCCTTGTACTATTAACGTTGAAGCCCATTTTTGTCCAGTTTAACGACAGAACTTTCCACTTAATCTTCGACAGTTTTATTCGACTCGAAAGTAAACGTTGGGAAGTGCCTCAAATAACTAAATCCTTGCCCTTCAGGGTATAAATGTCTCAGAGTTGACCTTTCAACGACTTGCAACACCTTAAACACTTTCGGGTATCCCCTTAAATACCCACTTACGGCAAGTTCCAATACAAACCTTAGAGGTAACACCCAGGATCGAGAGATTCGACAATGACGGAACATACTGTAGGCATACCTTCTGTTCTCTAAGAGTAGTCAAATGCTGGAATTCGCTGCCTGCTGAGATCGCCCAAGAGACTTCTCAGCAGTCCTTTAATAGAAAATTTAATATATTCATAATGACTAGGGACAGTATCCCACAAAGATTTACCGATATTTTTTATCTTTTACCGTTAAATATACATCGGTTTCTACCTGGCGATGTCAGTGATCCACTTCTACTAGATAAAGAAGCCTGTTAAGAGAAAGCTTCTATCTCATCAAGAACCATTTGAAACAACCTAACGTTTATACCAAACCACATGTTGAATAACGGTAATATAGCTTGAAGATTCCTTTCTCTACACAAAGTGAAAATTCCACCTACGTTATCCTAAACTTTTACTACATGTGAAACTACTTTGACCATGATTTCAGTTATTGGGATGTTGATCTGCCAAGGTTAGCGTATATTCAAGCTATCCTGACACACGTGCATCTAGATTCAAGTGGTGCACTCCAAACTGTAGACTCTGACGGAGAGAGTTTACGTTTTCTTCAATGGTGTTAAAAGATCCTAATAAATTTGATGGCATAGATGTTAACAAAAAGCACCGCCCACGCGCCAGCGGTCGTAAAGCGCAGAAAAAATGTCCACGAGAGTCAGCAACAGCAAACAATCCTAAAGCATTTGCTGTCCAACACACAACTAAAGCATCACGCCTAGTCCAACGTACGCTTGATCATCAGACTAAAAGACATCATTTATTACAATCCAAATATGTTTCGGCTGTTTCTCCACCATATATAGTTGCAATCGTCGGACCTCCGAAATCAGGCAAAAGCACTCTTCTCCGTGGACTAATAAAACACTTTGCACACCTATCAGTTGGTGTTATTAAAGGTCCGGTGACTGTAGTAGTCGGTAAAAAGGAAAGATTTACTTTCATTGAGTGTGGGTGTGAAATCAACAGTATGTTAGATGCTGCGAAGATCGCTGATGTCGTTTTGTTACTCGTTAATGTCCGTGCAGGACTGGAAATGTATCATTTTGAATTCATCAATATGATACAAGCTCATGGAATGCCGAGAGTTGTTCCTGTTTTGAATCACTTAGATACATTTAAGGATTCTAGCTCTTCTCGTGCACTTCGAAGAAAAATTAAACATCGCTTATGGACCGATCTTAACTCCAAAATATTTCTCCTCTCACGTTTTCAAGCAAAAAAGTGTAAGTTTTAAGGGACGTTTTGCTTTTTCTCCGTTTTAAACGTTTGGTTAACAGACCCTGATACTTATCAATTATTTCATATTTTAGAACGGTAATAACTATTACTTATCTACTAGTTATGCATCCTTCACTAGGCAGGAAGCTTTGATCACGAACAACCTATTTGTTTTCAGTACTCATACTAACGACCGATTAAAGTCGAACTTCTGTTATTTTCGTCCTGATCTTGAAGCTAACAATAGTCAAATAAACAAAAAAAGCAGCCTACTACTATTATTAAAATTGTCAGCTGTGTTAAATCTGAGTATTTTTTTATTGACCTTAATGAAATATACTAGTCCCCCAAATACCCTGGTACGTCCCAGAGCGGGGAGAGCCAACTCTCCCTCTCGAAATGCTCTCAAGTGGCTATGTGCATGCAACCACTGACATGGAAGTACTACTCATTGCCTTCTTGTGGCATTACTGTTGTTTAAGAAATTGAAGGGGAGAAAAGCGAATGTCCGGCACTTTAACCGGGTTGGTGGATACGGAAGATTCACCTAATGGGGTCGTAAAACCCTGACTCCAGACCAGTGGTGCACTAGGCTCCAGGATCCTAAGGTAACAAATGGCGTACGAATCTATTGTTCGTCATCGGCTGCCATGGGACTGCATCTTCTGACGTTGCTCCACCTTTTTGTGGATTAGGCCTTTAGGTCAAAGGCTCCGGGTGTGGCCCCCTAAGAAAACCACCTGCTTCGGTTTGGGCACCCGGGCAGTATCCCAGCCCTCACATAAGTCGAATGATTTATATGGCACATATCTATTTGGTTCCTCCTTGTATTAATGTTTATGTTTTTAAATAAAATAAAAACCAATGAAATCAAGTGATCATCAAGCTAAATATTTTGATTAAGTGATTTATTTTGTACACTTGTCTAGTTCCAAGATCTGGAATTATACTCGTTTCGGTAGATATGTACGTTTCGGATTTATAACTCGGGTAATCTAACAAGTTAGCCTTCTCAACCATGGCCCATAAACCACTGGTTTAGCTCAAATTCCGTGGATATATCGCGTATTGGGTTGCATTTAACCCCAAAAGTGCCTTGATACACAGGAAAGTAAAGTGTTTGCTCTCCTATGGTTATGCCTTAAAATAATCTCACATTAATAACACTTAGGAAATGTCAGCTCTTTGTGGACAAATGATGGAGTGTTTGGACATAATTAAAAGGATAAAATCATGAGCTTGAACAAATCTGGAGAATGCAGGAAATTCACTTGCTGGGATTTCAAAACCTTAACTTTAAACCAAATAGTTCACATGGTCGTCGGATACTTAAAGTATAGAAACGTAATTTAGTTACCAGCTTCCGTAAAATCTGCACATCCTGGTGTTGCTTTATTACTTTGAGGACTCGACTTAATCGTCATCTTTGTAAATGTGTGTATCAACCCTTAAATTTAGTTGTTTAGTTGCCTTAACGTATCTCTGAATCCCCATGTTTTGTGTCGGATTGCATAAATCAAGTAATTTTATAGCAGTCATGTGCGACATTTAATTTCAGACACGCGTCAATACTCTTACACTCATAAATCTTAATGGTTTATGAGATAACCACTCGAGTGTATTACATCTCATTTCTTACTAAAATAATATGAATTCGTACAATTGTTTAAATAAAAAAATCCTCCATGATGAATCAAATAAAATGAGCTTGTAATTTTACGTATGCTTCAGATTCTCACCAAGTCGAACTTTTCAAATGGGATGCTCAAGTGGCGTGTTCATGACTCATTTCATTCACAGTTATCTAGATTCGATTTGTGACATGGTTGTTCTTAATTAAGCTATTTCCACTTGTAACACTTCCAAACCACATTTACCTTGCAACAACTTCAAACATTCCTAGTCACCTTACTTCGTTACTTACTTACGCCTGTTACTCCTCGTGAAGGAGCATAGGCCGCTCACCAGCATTCTCCATCCAACCCTGTCCTGGGCAATCCTTTCCAACTCCTTCCAGTTGTTATTCATCTTTTTCATATCTGCTTCTATTTCCCGACGTGTGTTCTTTGGCCTTCCTCTTTTCCGCTTCCCTTCAGGATTCCAAGTTAGGGCTTGTCTCGTGATGCAGTTTGACGGTTTGCGTAATCTATGTCCTATCCATTTCCATCGTCTTTTTCTAATTTCCTCTTCAGCTGAAAGTTGGTTTGTTCTCTCCCACAGAAGGTTGTTGCTGATGGTATCCGGCCAATGGATGTCGAGTATCTTGCGTAGACAGCCATTTATAAATACTTGTACCTTATTGATGGTGGTTGTTGTAGTTCTCCAAGTTTCAGCTCCGCACACTAGAACTGCCTTGACGTTGGTATTAAAGATTCTCACTTTGATATTGGTTGAAAGTTGTTTTGAGTTCCATATGTTGTTCAATTGTAGGAATGCGACCCTTGTATCGTTGTATCGTAAAGCTGTTTCATATTCCCTTCTCTTGCAGCTTTTTCCGCCGTCGTTGCTAGTTCTTCTACGTATTGCTTCTTGTCGGTTCTAATGCTCTTCTTCACTTGCTTGTTTGCTTCTATGTATTCAGCTTGTGCTTGGACTTTCTCTGCTCGTGTTCGTCTGTTGTTAATTGCTGTCTTCTTGTTCTTCATTTCTTTGATCTTGTCCAGTGTTTGATAGTCACTTTAAAATGTAAAAATTACTCTCTTGTATTTTGTAGTGTATTGCATTCTGATCAGTACTAAAACAAGTAAATGAACCTTATACTTCCTCTAATCTTCTAGTCGCAGGCTAGAACCGTGTTCAACTTACTTTGATTTGAGCAATCAGGTAGTGCCTCCAACATTTAATTAATATGTGTTAATCAGTGTTCGGAAGTAATTTTCTAAAACTTTAGTATTTCTTTTTAGTAACTTCACCAGTATCACACTGTAATGTGCGTTATTATGCTTCTGTGTACCTTATATTTTTAGTTCCCTCTCATACACCAGATAAACAAAATGCAGGCGACACTCCAGGCGATTATTTGCTAAATGAAGTCAGACGTTTGGCTCGGTTAATAATGGTCAAAACGCCTCGCCCTTCAGATTGGCGTAGCTCTCATCCTTACTTACTAATTGATCGAATAGAAGATGTAACGGACAACAAAACGTCCAACAACATGAATAATGACCGTTGTATAAGTTTGTACGGGTGGGTTCGTGGTGCCCCCTTACCACCAGCATTGACATCTCCTGGGATACACATTGCAGGACTTGGTGATTTTGCTTTAGTTGAATGCACTCAACAGCCTGATCCCTGCCCATTACCGGGTATGTTCACTCATTCCAACGGTACTGATCCTGTGAAAACAACAAGACATTTGTCTGAACGTGATCGAAAAGTAATGTATATTTTTGTTGATATTTTAATTTTTTATGCGTATATTAAGTGCTAGTTACTGAGTGTCAGGGTATTGTGTATAGTATTTGACTGGAAACTATCAGTTTAGTGAGTATCCCGTGCACCACTTTTTATTATCTCCCTGTGTAAAACCGATAAGGGCTATAATTACCTTGTCTGATATGAAAGACTGTTCACATCACTGATTAGCGAGGAGTGGAAATAGCAAGTTTTTATAGTATATTTTACACATCTTACCACCATCAATGAACATCTGTAACAGGGAATTCACGCAGGGTTTTTTATATGATGCAAGTTTTGTATATTGTGACAAGATTCGTGTTTTCTATTCAAACAATCAAACAAAGACGTTTTGTTCACATGATGCATCAATAGCTCTCACATTTACAAAGAATATGATTCAAAGTTGAAGACGTAAACCTGTATCAATAAATAAGTGATTCATAATCTGTTGTCCTCTATAATTGTAGATAGAAATCGAACGTATGTCGTAAGTAAATGCAGCTAAGGGGAAAACAGTAACTTTTCTAGGAAAATTCTAGATGACAGTTAATTACCACTTTCTACTTTTATCTGGAGTGTTAGGTAATGTTACCGGCCCTCACACAAAACTTAATTTCTGAACCACCGCCATAAATTACGTAGTGTAATAGATACAAATTATTATTATTATTATTATTATTATTATTATTATTATTATTATAATATCACAAAGACTTCACTTTCTATTTAGATATATGCTCCAATGTCGAGTCTCGGTGGTGTTCTGTTCGACCGGGATGCGACATATATTGATCTTGGAGGCAGTCACTATCTAACTAATCGTAAATCTCGACATGGAAATAATCAAACACAAAATGTTAGTCAGTCTATGTTAGATGAATTACATGCAACTTTCAATGAAGTTGGTGGGTTGGATGAGCGATTAAATAAAACACATAAGGTTCGTATGGTCAGCAATGCACCATTTCTGTCTGCAGAAGAAATAGCGGATAATCATGATGGTTTTCATAATCTAAACAATTCGATGAATGATGTTACAATGGAAGAATCAAATGATATGAACACTGACAAGTGTACTGATGAAATACGTGTATTTTCAGAAGAGCCTATTGCAGGATTTCTTGTCCCGGCTGGATTTCAGGAAAATGGAAACGTCCAAAAGAAGAACCAAGATCCGTCAGTGTCGAAAAGTGCACATATGCAAGTAAAACAAATTTTAGATGGTGAGATCCGTGTTTTTGTAATTTACGTCTTAGCTCATGAACTGTACTAATGTATATTAGTTGTAGTAAGTACTTGTTAATTCTTAGTATTGAGGATTCACAGGAATTTTTCAGTTTGAAGTTCGTTTTCATCACAAATGGATATCATGTGTAAAACCACCGAAGACCAGGGAGTGTTAGACGATTATTACATTTTAGATTAAGGTTAATTATCGTCCACTCGCTACCATGTACTAAAGCAAACTCAGTACTTTTAGTTTTTGTGAAAAATAGCATAACTTTATACCACAAAATCTGAACGGTTCACAGTCTTATTTTGTAGTTATCATCCAATGCCATTGGTGATGTATCATCTTCAATATAATTGGATCCAACCAGTTTTAGCTTTTCATTTGAACTAGCGATTTTCCTCAAAGCTAGTCACTAATGAGCCACGATTGTAATTATGATTATAATTATAATTATTATTAGATTACAATTAGGGTATTGGTTAATTGTCTAGATTTTGCATCATACTTTTTTCTGTTAATTACTGGTTTATTTTGAGGTGTGGCAAGTTGGAATGACACAGATTTGTGTTAGATACTACGTTATCTATAGGTGACAATGAATTCCACCTATCAAAATAAATAAATAGAACGTCTTTTAACTGATGAATTTAAAACATACTGTTATGTAATGTTTGATAATACATATTTCAAATGTTTCTCATCTACTAATTAGGAAATATTGTTAAAGCACCCCAGATAAAACGTTTCCACTAGAAAAACATGGAAGTTTTGTGCAGAAATCAAGGATATTTACTTCAAAATTACTTCGAAATATCATCAAAAATGACGGCTATTTCGTTCCTGTTCCCAGTCAGTCATATGCACCGTGAAACCTGAAACGTATATAAATCGGTTTAGGTTGACATAGCACATTGGGACAGAGAGATACAGTTATCAAGACCAATCCCAGACCAGTAGATGTAGTCACAACGTTAGTAGTAATAGAAAGGTATAGGCGTCGAAAAAAGAAGATATTAATTGATTTCAAGACTCAGATTTCATGGGATACAAAGAGTAAATGCAGCTGGCATTATTGCGAATAATTCTGAGCAATGTCGCTCAGAGTCTGTAACCATTGCTTACAATAATCACTTAGACTTCAACCAGTTAGTCTACACCTACCTATATAGCTCAGTCCACCTATCGATGGCTTTGTAGACCGGTGCTGTGTCTTGGTTTGGTTGCCCCTAGCTTTCTTCTAACCAACCCCCCAAACCAGACACTATCCATCGAGGTAGGCAGTGGTTTTTACATATATCACATACGTCACGACCTTTTACTGTTCCCAGTGGAGACGTTAGTTTGTGAACTCTGTTATATTACTAAACTATTTACAAAATTCATAAGTAATAATATTCATAGTATTGAGAACTATAGAAACAATTCATCTTGTTTACAGATATTGAATGGAAATCCACAACCGTATCCTTAGTCAACTGGAACCGTATTGTTTATGGTATAAATAATGGTAAGTTTTAGTTTTGATGTTTTGCACTTGACAATTCACTTTTTAAATGAACTTGATCTCTCAAAAGAATTACAGATGCACCAATGTTTTAAAAAAAAAGAAAGTAAATGCACACTTATAATAGCAAAGATGTGTATTGGTAAATTGACAATAGTGGTAAAACTATACTATGTTGACGGTCTTGAGTGATTCAAAATATAGCCTTAAGATTAGCTAATCAAACATAAGCCATTAAGAATATAGCTCTTGTAATCATGTTCTGTATTACAAAAAAGTATTTAGAGTTTTACCAATTAATGAACTTATTAAGACTGACTATCCTAATACCCTGACGTCCTAACTCTAACTCCTCTTATTTTCTAATTCTAGCACTTCGTTTCACAGGGAAATTATCATCCAATCTATCCATAGTATGAAATCTACTCAACAAGATTATATATATATATAACAGTAAACTATCCTCATTAGCGTTGTGAATTCATACTAATATTTAATATCGGTTATTTTAATTTCGATTGGTCGCTTAAAGCCCTCAGTATTACCGGTTATTTAGTTAGATTTAAGCTTGTTAAGGCTGAAGTATAATGTTGAATTTGAGTAATTTCTAAAATAACCTTAAGGAGTTTTCGACACCATTTAACCAGGAAATAGTCAATATGAGTGATTTCTAGTTCAAAATGAAAAGATTCATAAAGTAGATATGGTTTTTTTTAATATGATTAGTGATTTCGTTTATATTTCTAATCGGTTCTTAGGCTTTGAATTCAAAGAAATCTTCAATAAAGAGATTTATCAATATGACTCAAAAAACATTTTATTTCATAGCCTTTATACAGTCGTAAATAGTTTCCATGAAACACCCCAAATGCCTTCTAGTTTGTCTTTAATTTCAAATCATTCAGAGGCTTAAGTCACGAACTAGTCCTCCTGAGCATACATCACTTGGCTACACATCATATTATTGTGTATCATCGGTCGGTCAGCATGTTTTATTCATTCTAACTGTTAACGAGACATAGACTGGATTAAAGCATGCTCAATGCACGATTGCTTTGGTGCACGCTGATTGGCTAATTATTATCCACTCATCACTAGTCGATACTTGGAGAATACTCTAGAATCTTCTGATGTAAAAACTATAAATATACTAACGTTTTTCCCTATTGTGCTTCTTACTTCCATCTAACCTTGTTATTTGGAATACAGTCTCTTTCCTGTTCAACCGTGTTCTGATTTGCGGACTTGTCGAGTGATTTGGTGTCCAAGAATACTAACCAATAGGAATAGCTGGGTTATAACCGTAAGAGAGAAATATAACACTAACAATTGATATTTCATCTCATCAATTAATAACATCTTCCTTTATGACAACTCAGAATATTGTTACGGCGGTTTTACCTTCACAATCGTAGATTTCCGAATTTATGTGCAATTCAACGTTTTATAACAAGTTTATTATTCTTTATTCACTAAAATTTTTATAATAATTCAGATGATAACTGATATCTTTGTCCGGTAAATACTTTATAACCGTGGAAATGTTTTCTCAATACTGATAAGTTCGTCAGTCATCTACAACATAGGACCAGGCACATATGTGCATCGGTTCAAGTTGCCATACCTCATTAGCACAACAAGATGAACACCGGATTCATAGAAGTAGTTAATTCAGTGGTGCTAATATATAAAAGAAAGATTGCATATAAGGATATAGTACAGGAAGAAACAATTAGTTTGTAGAAAAAAGATATGAAGCGATTTTAATCTCGTAGCTTAAGGGAAGACAGAGAGTGTATACACCTACGCCATTGTTATTGATTCTGAGCCATGTCACTCAGAGTCTCCAACCATTGGTTAGGATAGTCACGCGGACCTCGACCGAGTAGTGTACATCTATTGACGTGGCTTAGACTAGAAGTTAGTACTGATATGTTCGACATGATACTTAAAATTAACTCGTTACCAATTGATAAAATAAGTTAATCATGTACTGTTTTTTCTTCATACATCTTACCAAAAAAGTAATTGATTCCATATTTTATTAGATGCGAATGAAAATCCCCTTAAAAGTTCTAACCAACCAATCATTGGAGATCATGATTTTACTCTTTGTTCAATTCACAAATCAACTGTATTATCATGGGAGGATTCATCATCTCATAATTTAATTCGTAATCTATTTACCACTGGTCATTGGGGTGAGAATGAAGATGCTCGAACACTATTGGAAAAAGATGCTAAAGCACGAGAAGAATTAAAAATGAATGAGGCTAAAAAATATGCTGCCGCATCTGGTAGTCGTGTACAGCATACTTACCATGGAAAGCAATCATTTTATGATAATGATTCAGATGATTTTGAAGGAATGGAAAACAATTCCGATAACAGTGGTGATGATGATGACGACGATGTTAATGATAGTGAATCGAATAATGATGAAGATGTTTATAATCAGGAGTCAGACGATGAAAATATTTTCCATGATTCAAACTCTGAGGACGAAAATAATCCAAGTAACAATAAAGGTATTGCATCAAAGGACTTGGCAAATTTGGAAAGTGAATACGATAAGGTCAGTGTGTATATGATCTTGTTTGACGAATAAGATCCTTTTCAAACGATTTGAATTGTAATATCATTCTTAGAAATGATTAAGTTTTACGATCATGCATCACCCCTAATTTACGTATCAATGAAAGCACATTAACAATAAAAATATTCATGCTTTAGCGCAATTTTTGTCGTTTCGAAAGTCAGAGTTCTATCCTCCTGGTAAGCTCTATACTTACTAAAGAAGTTGTTTCTTTCGACAGTCAAAATCATCTGTAAGAACACCTGGTTGCCTCAAACTATGCCAACGACTCTCATCTCCTAAACCATGTGTAGTTACCTTAATTCATTCGGCTAATAAATGACGCTTTGACCCCTGGAACAATCAGTACAAGGTTCAGGTTTCCATGAAAGCTCTTTTTAAAATTTAATGTAACTCATTTACTGGGTACGGTTTTATGCAGTTACCTTTAAGCTCATGATACTATCTGACTGCTCAAACCAAGATGTGTGAATCCTTGTTCAAATCTGCAAAATATTTATAGAAAGCTCAACATTTCTACCACTAAGCTATCATTATCAGTGAGAACAAATACACCAGTATACCCGATTGGTGATTTTTAAACCTGATGAAATGGATATCTTAAACTGCGCTGTCAAGTCACTTTATCAATCCTCAATCAATAATATTTCAACATGCATACACGTAGCCAATATGCTGCCGTGAACTGATTAGTTTTGATCTTCTAAATCAATTATGTCTAATGCAATAAGGAATTTGAAACTTTACTGACACTCTGTGACATTCAAACTCTTGCACTTCATCATCACAGTTCAAGATGTTACTACGAAGATATAAGTACAGGTCCTGACCTCTTGTAAGATCATGATATTTAACCACTGTCTCCAACCATCTAACATCAAGACTTGGTCCATATGATATCGTACAACCTGAGTGATAAAATGTAGTGAGCACAAAAATCTAAATAATCGTGGTATCATTCTCAGTATTCAAATTTCAATCAGTTACATGATAATCTTTGTTTTGATTATGTTTTTGTATAACTTAGTATTATCTTGCTGTGATACTTCACTCAACTATTTTCAGATTAGAGCGAAAATTCATAATAATCAATATATATATTAAAAGAAGCCAAACAACAGAGACACGATAGTAGGAACAACTACTTACTTACACCTGTTACCCCTCATGGAGGAGCATAGGTCTCTCACCAGCTTTCTCCATCTAACTGTCCTGGGCAATCCTTTTCATATCTGCCCCCAGTTCCCGACGTAGTTTGGTATTTCTCTTTTACGTTTCCGTTCAGTATTCCAAGTTAGGGCTTGCCTTGTGGCGCAGTTTGATGATTTCCTCAATGTATGTCCTATCCACTTCCATCGTCTTTTCCTAATTTCCTCTTCAGCTGGAATTTGGTTTGTTCTTTCCTACATTAGGTTGTTGCTGATGATATCCGGCCAACGGAAATTCAGTATTTCACGTAAACAATGGCTTATAAATACTTGTACCTTTTTGATGTTGGATGTGGTAGTTCTCTGAGTTTCAGCTCCGTGCAGTAGGACTATCTTGACGTTTGTATTGAAGATTCCGACCTTGATGTTGGTTGACAGACAGTTGTTTGGAGTTCCATATGTTTTTCAACTGTAAGAATGTTGTCCTTGCTAATAGGAACAGTGCTTATATATAATTTACATAAAACCTCCTAACATCTCGATTTGTCCGCTGGCGCTGAGTGATTATAAGTAAACCGATCAGTATATTTATATTTAATCTTAACCAGAGGATGTAATCTTCTGGACTATCCTGCTCACGATTATTGACATTAAAACATACTGTATATTTCAATGACTTTAACATTTACAATATCTTTATTTAAAAGAGGATTAATATTAATTTTTTCTATAAAAAAACTCATATTCAGAATCTACTACGACCAACTAAACGACAGAAATTATTAGAGAAAAGACAACGTCATAAAGCTTTATTTAACCAACTCTATGAGGAAGCTGGTGGTGGTCCTGAAGCTACCGCATTCTATGATAAACTTGTTGCTACACGTGAAGCACAACAAGCATTAAATAGAGAAGTTTTAAAAAGTTTACCTGAAGAAGTTGTTAATCGTTTAGAAGGTTTTCCACCTGGAGTTTATGTTCGAATTGAAATTAGAGGTTTGTTTTGTTTTTATTTATGTGAATATAAAGTTCATTTTAAAATTCATTAGTAAATAAGTAGTACTAGAAATGATGAGTTTTGTTATTACAGATGTAAATGTTAACAAAGTTTAGAAATTTATGTTAATTGTGTTCTATCAGATGTAACTACTTAAAAATGACTTAGTACTTGAAACATAATTTATTTCATTAGTTGAGATCATGAGTCAATTGAAGCTAGACCACCATAGAAAACCTGAAAGCACTGGGCGGCCGTTTCGTCCTATTGTGGGACTCTTCAACAGTGCTCAGTGACCAGTGGGTTTCAACTGGGTCTGTTGTGAAATAGTAACTCACTGAAAACAATGGTGAATGTGTCGCTCAATTTCGTGGATTGGTTGAAGTTAGATATTAACACCATTGAATGCCGGTCAGCTCAGTGGTCTAGTGGTTAGGCGCTCGCGCGCGAGACTGATAGGTCCTGTATTTGAATCCCGTCAGGCGGTGTCGTGGATGCGCACTTCTGCGGAGTCCCATACTAGGACGAAACGGCCATCCAGTTCTTTCAGGTTTTCCATGGTGTTCTAGCTTCATTTGACTCATGATCTCAACTATTGAAATTATTATAATCTCCACAAAACCCTTTCTGATAAAATTTATTTGTCTTTAGTAGGTTGAATTTTTGCATTTTTTTTCGTGTCGATTACTGGATAAGTAATTCTAAAGTTCTTAGCTAAATATTAGATTGTTCCTTAATATCATTTTTCTTGCAGTTAGATCTTTAATAAGTACATCTAACTCTTGGAGGTTTCGACTTATTCCAAATTAATATCCCGATTAAACTTTGTGCATAATACTTAGACAAATCTCGTTGCACATACACATTACTTACAATAACAGATGTCTTACACGAAATATATTGAGAATATTATGTTTCATGTATGCAGATTAACAGACAAACCACACGAATAAACAGACGTAGTTTGAATTTGATTGCACTCTTAAAGTGCCTTTCATCAGGATTCGTCATACTCAACCGTTATGATTGAATTCTTTTTTTGATAGATTCGTAGATTCATGTCGATATCTTTTTCCCACTGAATGAATAGGTTTCATTTGATCAACTTAGTATCAAATTATGTCTAATTCGTAATTTATACAAGCGACAATGTGTTAAAATAACAAGTTTTCTATTCTCTGGTACCTTCACTTACACAAAACAAAGGAATAATTAAGTCGAAAATTGTTATACCGATTCCTGAAATCTCAGGCTACGTGGTTAGGTCCTTTGAGAGAAAATATGTGGTGTTCCTATATAGTACAGATAGTAGTAGAGACTGGTGACAGTTAGACACACTACGATTTAACTAATAATTATTTGTAACATTGTATCAAGCAAAGTGAGTAATTTTTGGCATATAACCCTCTACTGGCCTGCATCAACACCTGAACTAAGGATAGAGAGTGAAGTAGTCGAACGTGTTGACAACTTCACTTGGAAGTCTGATCAGCCCTAGTGGGTTGGTGTCTGGCGAAATGCATGGATTCAAAAAGCTCGTTTGATTTTTGCCAATCTTACGTTACCTATGGCGAAGGCGAGATGTCCGTCTATCAATAAGAGGATTAGTATACTTCGCGGCAGTTCGTTTTGTTCCACTTTATGGCTGCGAAACGTGGTCATTAAGAGTAGAAGATACTCGCAAGTTACTAGTAGTTGATCACAGATGTCTTAGAAATATTGCTCGCATCTGCTGGGATCACCTAGTAAGTAATAGTGCGGTTAGACGCAGCGTATTAGGGAATGATGGTAAATCAGTTGGTGAGGTTGTGAATCTTCATCGACTGAGATGGTTGGGCCACGTGTTACGTATATCCCGATCGAAGCTGCTACCTTGACGCGGTGGTCGGGCTTGCCTATCGTGATGACCCAACCGAGCTATATTGGCTGGAACATATGTTCCTGCAGGTTCTACCATGCCAGGCAGGTCGATTGGCGAACGGTAAGACTAAAGGCAGCAACTCAAGGTCTGAGGGCGAAGTCGTACTGCTGACTGTAGAGAGGTGTGACAGCAGTAAGGTGTTTCCCTCGGACAACCAGCATGACAGCGATGCTGCCTTCCCACAAGGAGGGGTGGGGTTAGAAAACGTCGACCCTAAAAATGCACACCTCACCTTACCTCACGGATTTCCGTCTCCGGCGGTAAGGCCCCTTGAAGAACGGAGCTAACACGTCAAAAACCTTCCACAAAAAGGCCGTGCGCGACCGGCCTCAAGCAGTTGTCCCTTGGGCTCTGCGGTCACGCTCCCAGGTCGTCAAGACCAACACTAATCCAATTTCCTTTTCAGGTTCATCAAGAAATACCCTTCCACGGTGTGGGCAGCCGGGAAGTGACATCAGCCCTCATACCCGTGACAGCACAAGAGACCAAGGTGGTCACATTCAAATCCTTCCTACACCTCCTAATACCTCTCTTATCCTCCCGACTAACCCTCCTCACGTCTCTTTATCACCTCGCACCGCTAGGGCAAACGATTCGAGTACGTGGAACGCCATTCCTGGTCTCCTGAAACCACGCTCTAAACTACACGTAGGAGCTTTTAACGTACGAACACTGTGCCAAATAGGACAGCAGGCTTCCTTAGCTAGGACTTTAGAATCTCGCGCCATCGATGTGTGCTGCGTCTCCGAAACGCGCATACAGGATCCGAGTAGCGTCATTCATTTGACCTCACCATGCCAAAATAAAGAACCGACTCGATTTACGCTTCGTGTATCTGGAAGCCCTGATTCTGCTTCCCGTGGCCTCGCCGGCGTAGGTATAGCATTGAGTCCTAGGGCAGAACTAGCTCTCTTAGAGTGGATCCCAGTAAACAGTCGTTTGTGCGCTGTCCGACTGAACGGAACAGTAAGAATCCGGAAAGATAGGGACACTCGTCGTTGCCTCTTCGTCGTCTCTGCCTATTCTCCCACTGACTGCAGCTCAGATGATGTAAAAGATGAGTTTTACAGAAAGCTTTCGGACCTTCTCCGAAAAGCTAAGCGCTCGGATGTAGTAATAGTGGCCGGTGACTTTAATGCTCAAGTAGGTAAACTAAGCGATAAGGAAAGACACCTAGGTGGATCCTATGGTGTCGTGGCTCAAAGAACAGATAATGGCGACCGTCTGTTGCAGCTATGCTCAGATAACCGCCTGTTCCTTGTAAATACTAACTTTAAGCATAAGGAAAAACATCTTTTAACATGGCGACCCCCTAATTCGTCCCAACGTTGGACCCAAATAGATCACATCGCTATCAGCCACCGATGGAGGGGCTCGATAGAAGACTGTCGCTCATTCTGGAGCACATGCCTAGATTCAGATCATGCTCTAGTGCGAGCGCGTATTTGCTTGCGACTTACTGGACGTAGGAAAGATCCTGCAAGGAAACCTCTTAGGGCCCTACTTAATGATAGTCAAGCTAAGAATATATTTCAGGAACAACTAGGAAAACAGTTAGGCAGCCATGTATGTGATGCCCACCCCGAGGCAGCATGGAACGATATCCGAAAAGCTGTGGAAACAGCAGTGATATCTGCTAGTAAGGTAAACCGTAAAGTTAGGGAGCAACACTGGATCTCAGCAGCATCTATCGCACTGATAGATGCTCGAAAACTCATTCCACCTGGCTCTGAACATAATGAAGAGCGGAGTCAGCTTAAGCGCAAGCTGACAAGAAGTCTACGCAATGATCGCGAACAGTGGTGGGTAGCGAAAGCAAGAGAGATGGAAAAGGCAGCGGCAATAGGTAATAGCAGACAATTGTTTAGACTCGTTAAGGAAACCGGAATTAGGAACCCGACTGTTAGCGAAACAATCTCAGAGAAAGATGGACATATTATTCATTCTCAATCCAGGAGATTGGATCGATGGGCAGAACACTTTAGGGATCAGTTCAACTGGCCTTCAGCCACACTTCGGTTTCCCACGATCTCCAGTCAACCTGAATGGCAAGTTAATGTAAGTCCTCCGTCCCTTTACGAAGTTGAAAAAGCCATAGGAAATCTGAAACGAGGGAGAGCAGCAGGCCCTGACAGGTTTACTCCTGAGATTTTTAAGGATGGTGGTCCAGTATTAGCAGCAAGATTAACTGAGGTCTTAGGTAGAATTTGGGAACTAGACGTAATCCCATCTGACTGGTCTCAATCACTGATTGTACCAGTTTTTAAGAAAGGACAAAAGTCCTCTTGTGACAATCACAGAGGAATCAGTTTGACTAATATAGTGTCTAAAATATTGGCCTCAATAATACTTCGACGCCTAACTAAAGCTCGTGAAGAGCAGACTAGAGAAAACCAGGCTGGTTTTCGACCTGGACGTGGTTGTATAGATCAGATATTCACACTACGTCAGGTTCTAGAACAGAGACACACATTCAGACGTCCCACAATGGTAGTATTTCTCGACCTTAAGGCGGCATTCGACTCCGTTGATCGTGAGATTCTATGGCAGTGTTTGTCACTGAAAGGAGTACCAAAGAAGTACATTAACCTTATAAAGGCTCTCTACTCGAACACAACTGGTAGAGTGAGAGCTTATGGCGAACTGTCATCAGAATTGATCACCTCAAGTGGTGTTCGTCAGGGCTGTCCACTCTCCCCATTCTTGTTCAACTTTGTCATTGACGTACTTTTAGAGATAACACTCTCCTCATCTAAATTTACAGGGGTTGAACTTCTACCAGGAGGTTCACTTGTTGACTTAGAATATGCAGATGACATAGTTTTATTTGGTGAAGACGCTGACAAAATGCAGAGTCTTCTGACCACTCTAAGCAACAATGCAAGCATGTTCGGGATGCGATTCTCTCCCTCGAAATGCAAAATGTTGCTTCAGGATTGGGTTACATCGACACCCGAACTAGTGATAGGGAGTGAAGTAGTTGAGTGTGTCGACCGCTTCACTTATCTTGGAAGTCTCATCAGCCCTTGTGGTTTGGTGTGTGACGAAATCTCAGCACGGATACAGAAGGCTCGACTAGCTTTTACCAACTTGCGTCATTTATGGCGTAGGCGAGATATCCGTCTATCAACCAAAGGACGTGTTTACTGCGCAGCAGTTCGTTCCGTCCTTCTTTATGGCAGCGAAACATGGCCGGTAAGAGTAGAGGATATCCGTAGGTTACTAGTATTCGATCATAGGTGTCTTCGAAACATTGCTCGTATATCATGGGACCATCGAGTAAGTAACACAGTTGTTAGGAAACGGGTACTAGGTAAAGATGGCAAATCAATTGATGACGTAGTGAAACTTCATCAGTTGAGATGGCTGGGACACGTGTTACGTATGCCCAACGACCGACTGCCTCGACGTGCTATGTTCAGTGGTATAGGAGTAGGTTGGAAGAAAGCTAGGGGCGGCCAAACCAAAACATGGCACAAGTCCATGAAGTCACTGACAAGTGAACTGAGTCATGTTGGTAGGTGTAGACTACCTGGTTGGGGACCGCGAGATGACAGCAACCGATGGTTAGAGACCCTGAATGACATGGCTCAAAATCGTTCGCAATGGCGCAGGTGCATCCACTCTCTGTGTTCTCCCAAACTCTAATCTTCTGAATTCTTCATGTCCCTTTTTCCCTCTTTCCAAATTTCTTTCACTGGATTATACTCTTTAAATAACATCTCCAAACCCTAATCTTCCCGATTACTGCTTATACTCTTGCTACCTCTACCACTATGGGATTTGAATCGACCACTGCATCTCTGTGCTAATGTGGTGTGGCAACTCGAACTGATGTACGTACGTACGAAGTTCTACGTTGTTACTGACTGACTGACTGACTGTTACGTATATCTGAACACTGATTACCACGATGCGCAATGCTGACTAGTGTTGGGAATGGTTGGAAGAAAGTTAGGGGCGGTCAAACCAAAACGTGGTATCAGTCCATAAAGTCACTAACTTCTAGTGTGAGCCATGTTGGTAGATGTACACTACTTGGTTGGGGTCCGCGTGACTATCGTAACTAATGGTTGGGGACTGTGTATGGCATGGTTCAGAATCGATCACAATGGCGTGGGTGTATACACTCTCTGTTTTCCCTTAAACTAAGAGATTAAAATCGCTTCATATCTTTCTTTCTACGAACTAATTCTTTCTTTCTGCACTATATTTTTACGTAAAATCTTTCCTTTATATATTACTCCATTGAGTTAAGTGCTTCCATGAATCATCCAGTGTTTGTCTTGCTATGCTAATAAGATGTGGCAACTTGGACCGATGCATGTATCTACCTGATCCCGCGCTGTAGCTGACTGACAGAAATGAATATAACGCAAAATATTCATATTCATACCCATAATTCACGTATTGCGTACAATAATAGTAATATAGTATGTATCCTGAAAATAATCATGGTATACACTCTAGTTTACAGACATGATCAGGTTATTATGAAAAGGAGTAGAACAAGACTTGGTTCGTAAATTGTTTTGACTGTACAGTTGTCTCAAAGATTTTAATAATGAAATGCAGACAAGTTGTATAATCATAGGTGACATTTCGAAGTATAAAATTATTGTCGGAGCATACAAGAATAATAGCTATTATTCTTGTAGACGAAAAGTTGTCTTTGATAAACAGGGTAGAAAGAATCGTAAGTTTGCCAAGTTAATGGCGCAGCTAAAATATCATGACCGTTTTGAATTCATTGATATTGCAAAGTGATTAGCCAATAGGGACCAGTATTTTCTTAGCCCTAAGGACTGAGATCTCATGTTTAAGAATGATCATAGTATAGACAACCCATTTCAGTCTTATTACTTTGTACTTATAATCATCTACAATTGGAGAAAAGAAAATGGAGAAGAGAGCACGGAACAACAAAAAAATTATTTTGATAGATCAATCGTCATATATACACTTGATTATATCGTAATGTAATAATATGAATTTTATTTAGACTAATCAACTATTCTGGCAATATCTTTACACCATTGAACTATGTTAATTATAGGTGTTCCACAACAATTTCTGACACGATTTGATCCCTGTCAACCATTAGTTGCTGGTGGCTTATCCAGTGCTGAAGAAGCTTTCGGTTATTTACAAATTCGTTTTCGTACACATCGTTGGCTTAAACGTGTTCTCCGTTCAAATGATCCATTAACAGTATCAATTGGTTGGAGACGATATCAAACTGTTACAGTATTTTCACAAGAAGAGCATAATTTACGTAAACGTTTCCTAAAATATTCACTACCACATGAACATTGTCTAGCAACTATTTATGGTCCATTAGTACCACCAAAAACTGGAGTAATTGCTTTTGTGAATTCTTCTTGGCAGTCAATTGATGATCCAAAAAATCCACATTTACCAGCTTTTCGTGTCGCTGGTACTGGCAGTGTTATTGATACTAATCAATCATTTCAAATCATGAAAAAATTGAAATTAATTGGTGAACCATTCAAAATTTTTTCAAAAACCGCATTTATTCGCGGTATGTTTAATAGTCCTTTAGAAGTGAGTAAAATGATTGGTTGTCGTATACAAACTGCTTCGAAAATACGAGGTAAGTTCTTAATACAGTATTGGATATTATTCCATTTGATTTATATTCTTTCTTCTATTCAATGTTCGTAATTTCTGGAATTATGAAAAAGATTTACAACTCATATGAATTCTGTATGGTATGTGCTTTGCACCTTCGAAGTACAAAGTACTTCTACAAGACTGGCAGGATTCTAATCCTGTACTCACTCTGGATGATGAGCAGATAGAAGTAGTCAAGAAGTTCGTGTATCTAGGTAGCTGCATAAGTGCTGGTGGGGGGTGTGAGTGATGAGATCAATGCACGTATAGTGAAAGCCAGAGCGGCTTATGCCAATCTGGGCCATCTTTGGCGCCTTCGTGATGTTAGTCTGGCTGTAAAGGGTCGGATCTACAACGCGTCGGTGAGAGCAGTTTTGCTCTATGCTTGTGAAACCTGGCCTCTCCGAGTTGAGGACGTTAGACGACTCTCTGTTTTTGATCATCGCTGTCTCCGAAGGATTGCTGACATCCAGTGGTAACACCATGTTAGTAAAGCAGAGGTTCGACATCGTGTGTTCTGGCACAGAGACGATAATGCAATTGGTGTCACCATCTTGAAACACCGACTTCGGGGGCTTGGACATGTTCTCCGAATGTCGTCCCAGAGAATTCCACGTCGTGCATTATTTGCCGATTCTGGGACTGGTTGGAAAAAGCGGAGAGGTGGTCACTATATGACATGGTCTCGTGGCATGAAAGAAAGCTGCAAAGGACTGGCTTCTGTTGGTCCTTCACGACTCCCCGGTTGGGGTCCGAGAGATGGTGCAACACAGTGGCTAGAGACGTTATCAGATATGGCTCAGAATAGAAGCCAGTGGCGATCGTGCTGTAACTTTCTTTTACTTTTTTCATAAAAAGTGGTTGTATCTTCCCTAACTGGAAGATTTCTTCTGATTGTACCTTTCCGTTCCCTCATTATTACTACACTACCTTACACCAATCTCTTCGTTGTTGTTCTCTTTTTTTTACGCTCCTTACCTTTTTTTCTCTTCGAATTCTCATTGTTTTGTGTGGCATATATATATTGGCGCACTCTTGTACCAATATTTATGTGTTCAAAGAATTAAATAATGAATTCTGTAAACTAGATAATTTAATTACAGAGCTTTGTCTGTCTGGATAACACAGCCAGTCCTTTCTCTTTATGTGAAATATATCTGGTAAATAAAACGTGCACTTCGATAGTAATTACTTTGACTTGCACATAATTTTATGAATTTTTCCGTATAATTTTAAGTCAGAATTATTCAAAGCAGTTGAAGTACATATGGAATGTGTCCAATTAATGTACTTCATTTAACGTATGATGATGTCTAATTGATTTATGGATTTACTGTTGACAAATTCTAATGCTGTCTCTATTCACTAGGATTTAAGACAACCTATGAATAGTATCACTATCCCTTGAGCAGTAAATACAATTCTCATAGCCTAGTTTTATCCAAAGTTATACATGAAAGAATATATGACACTTTAATGATTGTTCTCTGTGTTATATTTCATTTCCAGTAAATGTTTTTTAACTTTTCTCTTTTACCAATCATAGGTTTAGTTAAAGCTGCATTAACTAATCCATCAACATCGAAACCTGGTGATTTTCGTGCTACATTTGAAGCACAAATTAGGAAAGCTGATATAGTTTTCTTGAGAACATTTTTCGCTGTTGAACTGCCCAAATATTATAATCCAGTTCTTAATAGACTTTTACCTATTGTTGGAGAAAAAGATACAACTACTACAGGTTGGCGCTTACTTCGTACATTAGGTGAACTTAAATGGGAAGCTGGTATCAAAACAGAAAGTAATCCAGATTCACAGTATAAAGTGAGTGTGGGATCTGTTAATAAGTTCTATTTATTTTTTGTATTACGCTATACTACTTATTTATTATTCAGTAGTTAAGATGGTGCCTGAATATTTATTCGGCTGTCGACATATGTAGTAATTAATATCAACTGGAAGTGGTAAACCTGGCAGCAGAAGGCTATGAAGGTCGACTTAAAGAAAACAGAAACAGAATTAAAAAGGAATCGTTAATCGGTAGGATCATACAGAATATGAAGGATAAGTGATGGAAATTTGTAAATAAAGTACTCAATATATGGTTCTCATATTTCACTAAGAATACATTTGGTTGTTTCCACTTGTATTCTCGTTCACAACAGAAGTACCAACATTATCACTGATAATTTGAAATATTAATCATTAATAAAACTATTAATGAAGAGGGAATAAGTTCATGGAATAAAAAGTGTAAGTATTTTAAGATCTGCTCTATTGCGAACAAGCTCCCACACACTTATTCTTATGAGAATCTCAGTTCAACCTTTAGTCATGCACTTAAAGTATAGGAATTTTAATCAATACTGCCCTTATCGTGATAATTATATGTAAAAATCTGTATTTATCATTACTATTATTATTATTATTTCTATATGCAGCCTATAAATCGTCCAGTACACATTACAGCACCTTTACGTATACCAACCAAACTGGCCGCAGCACTTCCATTTGCGTATAAACCTAAGCCATCACGTAAAGAAGCATTAGCTATGCTTGGTGGAGATCCTGTAAAAGCTGCTTTAAATGCTGAAATACCTGCTCCAGTTAAAACTGCTGATGAAATGGAATCTGAATCAAGACAAGAATTAATTATGCGCCTACGTCAATTACACTCAGATTTTATGCAACGTCAAAAAGAGAAAATGATTAATCGTGTAACAAAACACAAGAAACAATTAGCTAAAGAAAATGCCATTAAAGCTGCTAATGAACGTAAAAGACGAAAACAATATTTTGCTCGTAGATCATCCCGTGGCGGTAAACGTTCTCGTCGATCAAATGGTGAAGACTAAGCAAATACACCTCAAAGATCATATCATACCTTGTACAGTATATTAATGATATTTCAAATGTTTTTTTTGTTTTGGCTTTCTACTTTGTGATTCGAAATATTCGATTTTGAATGGTTAAGTTGTTAGTTCAAAATCTCATCTCATCTACTTCGAATTGAATAAATGTGAATATGATCATTAGTCTTCATACATAAGCTTAGCTCAAAGCCCAAAATAGACGAATCTACAGTATTGGTTACTGTGCTTAACTTGGATATCGACCACACGACGTGAGTAAATGAAATGTATTTACTCATCTGAGCACTGAACGCTGATAGCAAAACTTGTTCTTTGTTGTTGATATGGGAGCTTCCAATACAACCTCATAATTACTAATAGTACGAAGGTCGATTCGATGCATCCGGATAAACTGAACAGCACTTTGACTATGATACAGCCTGACGTATATAAAAGCGGAAGTGACCAGTAGTATCTCAAGAAAAACCTATGCTATAACTAGTAATGAGTAATCAGTCAGAAAGCGGGTTAAGCTATACGTATCGTTTCATAATTGTTGTCACATGTTATGTGATAAACAATGGTATCAATTCGAAATGATTAGAATAAATGTATTTGAGAGAGGAGCGACCTTCAACATTGACAAACTCAGGCTGTTATATTCGAAGGCGGTCACATAATCAGTCTGAAATTTAATGTTCGTTTATGGATACAACTCATGTTATCTTAGTTTTTCTGTTTAGTTCTAAATCAAGTATAGAAATTCATCAGAAAATTTTTGGACCAAGATAATTAGACAAGAGGATGAGCAGTTTAAATAATTTGATACCCTAAAACACTTGCGTCTAAACTTTATTATACAATTACATCTAGCTTTATTAAATTTTGATTATTTCCTGGAATAAACGTAATCTAATAGTCCAGACAATATGTTGAAAATAATCAATGATTCATTGTAAGATGTTGGGGGGAGATTTGTTGCTCAGGTAGATGATTTTGATAGAATTTTATTCTCTGAGCTGGATGGTTTAGACACGACCAAACAAAACTCCATCAAAATATATTCATCATTGTTCACTACATACATAGTCCTCAATATCTATGGAACTATTCGTTTAGATTATTGACCATAATGTTGGTATAATACAACACCATTTTTTAAAGTGTTCTCCACTTAAGCAATTATGAGAATATTGTTATTCTTTCAGTGTTTATTATCTAAGGGAAACCAATTACATAAAACTAACTATCTAAACAATTGTTCTTCAGAGAATACTAAAACCCAAACGCCCTGATATGGCCGAGAGCGGGGTGGGTTCACCCTTCCTCTCGAAATACTCTCACACGGCCGCGCGTATACAGCCTCTGCCAGGGAAGTCCTACTCACTGCCTTTTCGTGGCGGGGGTGTCTTTTACGAAAATGAGAGGACGAAAAGTGAATGTCCGGCGCTTTAACCGGATTCCAAACCAATGGTGCACATGGGCACCAGTATCCTGCGGGAACAAATGGCGTATGAACCAATCGTTGGTCACCGGCTACCATGGGACTGCATCTCCTTACGATGTTCCACTGCCTTGTGGGTTAGACCTTTAGGTCAAAGGCTCGGGGTGTGGCCCCCTAAGATAACCACCTGCTTCGGTCTGGGCACCCGGGCAGTAACGCAGCTCACACGCAATTAATGAACTGAAATTGTGTGGCGCATATATGTTTGGCGCACTCCTGTACCAATATATATGTGTTCAAATAAATAAATAAATAAAAATCATCATGACACCTAATGCTAAACCAGTCACTATTTGAAACAAAGGTTGATATTAATTGTAATACATGGATTTAAATTGTAATGTATTTGATTCTAGGATAAGTTGACTGTCTAGTGTTTCTTCATAATTCTCTAATGATTCTTGATGAAATCTGAAGTTTGTTCGAATAGTACAAAACCATTTGTTTTCTGTTTGTATTTCAACTCATTCATAAGGCAATTTTAGCAATAGTATCCGTAACTCATGATGTTGACAGTTTTTAGCTAGTAAACTTGTACAATATTTATGAATACGACTCTACTTTAGGAAGGATTGTTTTTTTTTTCTTAGGAAAGTCATCAGATATATTATTCTTGAAACATACTCCTTGATACACGATTACTTTTTTTAGTATTCACTAACTTCTATTGTTAATACGTAGACCTGTCTTCTCTACAAATGTTGGAACCAGTCAGTCAGGATCAGGCACATATATGCATGAGTATGTATGAGTATCAAGCGCATAGTACTCATTATTATGTCTCAGTCATTCAGTCACATCGTAGGAACAAGCACATATATGCATCGGTCCAAGTTGCCATACCTCATTAACACAACAAGATGAACACCGGATTCATAGAAGTAATTACTTTAATGGTAGTAATATATAAAAGAAAGATTGCATATAAGCACAAAGTATAGCAAGAAAGAAATAGTTCATAGAAATAAAGATATGAAGCGATTTGAATCTCATAATTTAAGGGAAGACATATAGTGTATTCACCTACGCCATTGTTATTGATTCTGAGCCATGTCACCAAGAGTCTCCAACCATCGGTTACGATATTCATACGGACCCCAACCAAGTAGTGTATATCTACCGACATGGCTTAGACTAGAAGTCAGTGAGTTCAAGCACTGATGCAACGTTTTGATTTGGCCACCCAGTCTCGAAACATTGGTTGCGATGCTTGCGTTTTTCTTACATGTAAGCTACAAATTCGATAATGTTCATAGATCTTATCTGCTAATATTTTATAAATGTCTGATAGTTCAGAATGTGTTAGATGTATTATTACAATTCAGAGAATGAATGAGTATACTACAAGCGTATGTAATCGAATTAAATGCCTCACATTGTCGTGTAACACATAGTTTTGAAAAGTTGTTGGTAATGACAATTTGATTCGATAGATCAAATCTACATGTTAACACTTTCTTTTATTTTGTTAATAGATTTCTAAACAAAATGTAAATAGTAATACTTATAGGGTGAAATTGACAACATTTTTACATACTACTGACTCCTGTTACCCTTCATGAAGGAGAATAGTTCGCTCATGCCAGCATTCTCCATCCAAAGTTGTCCTGGACAATACTTTCCAGTTGCTATTCATTCTTTTCATATCTGCTTCCAATTCCGGACGCAGTGTGTTCTTTGGCCCTTCCCCTTTTGCGTTCCACTTCAGTATCCCAAGTTAGGGCTTGCTTCATGATGCAGTTTGGTGATTTCCTCAATGTATATCCCCTTCACTTCCATCGTCTTTTCCTAATTTCTTCTGCAGTTGGAAGCTGGTTTGTCCTCTCCCACAGAAGGTTGTTGCTGATGGTATCCGGTCAAAGGATATTGAGTATCTTGCGTAGACAACTATTTATAAATACTTGTACCTTTTTGATGATGATTGTATTACGTTATCTTTATTTTTAAAAGAATGATCTCATTCAAAATTTCAATTCACAATAAGAGTTAAGATGAAAAGTGTTTCATGAAATATCTTAGTCTTTAATCTATAGTAGAGTAGTAGTTTGCCGCCAAATGCTCTGGCATGGCCGAGAGTGGGGAGAGTCCACTTCCCCTCTCCAAATGCTATCACATGGCCACGCGTATACAGCCTCTGCCAGGGAAGTCCTACTCACTGCCTTTTCGTGGCGGGGGTGTCTTTTACGAAAATGAGAGGACGAAAAGTGAATGTCCGGCGCTTTAACCGGATCCCAAACCAATGGTGCACATGGACTCCAGTATCCTGCAGGAAAAAATGGCGTATAAACCCGTCGTCGGTCACCAGCTACCATGGAACTGCATCTCCTCACGATGCTCTACCGCCTTGTGGGTTAGACCTTTAGGTCAAAGGCTCGGGGTGTGGCCCCTTAAGAAAACCACCCGCTTCGGTCTGCGCTCCCGGGCAGTATCACAGCCCACACACACGCAAATATGGTGTGGCACATATATATTTGGTGCCCTCTTGTAACAATATTTATGTGTTCAAATAATAATAAGAGCAGTAGTTTAACACTACTGAGCAAGTACATACTAAACTGAAACAACTGTCCATTACTTTCTAGTTTTAAATAGTTGTTTCATTAGGCTTAGTTCAAGATAATGAAAACGTGAATATGAAACCAGTTAACTCAAATGACAAAGGACTGTCAAAATCTTTCTCATGAGTTATTCTTATGATTACAGACTTTTGAAATGAACTTGTGTGTGTGTGTGTGTTTAGATTAGAGAAACACCTCTAATTATAACTTACTGAGGTATTTTAAAATTTAGATGATCGATAATTGTGTTCATTCCAATTACAGAATGTGTACATAGTACAAGGTTACAACAATTAATCGAATCTCATTTACATAACTAAAACGTTCAAACTTAAACAAGAACATAGATTCTCAACTATAAACACTGAATTGAATACCAAAATAAAAAAAATAATCCCAAGGATATAACTTGTAATATGGGCTACTGCAAAATTGTGCATGGAGGACAGTTGACAAAGTCATTCGAAGTGAAGACCGGTGTTAGGCAAGGTTGCTTACTCTCACCCTTTCTCTTTCTCCTGGTGATCGACTGGATCATGAAGACGTCAACGTCTGAAGGGAAGCGCGGGATACAATGGACATCTAAGATGCAGTTGGATGATCTAGACTTCGCAGACGATCTGGCCCTTCTATCCCAAACGCAACAGCAGATGCAGGAGAAGACAAACAGTGTGGCAGCAGCAGTAGGTCTCAACATACACAAAGGGAAAAGCAGGATTCTCCGATACAAGACAGCATGCACCAATCCAATCACAATTGACGGAGAAGATTTGGAAGATGTTAAAACCTTTACATATTTGGGCAGCATCATTGATGAACAGGGTGGATCTGGTGCAGATGTGAAGGTGCGGATCGGCAAAGCAAGAGCAGCATATTTACAACTGAAGAACATCTGGAACTCAAAGCAACTGTCAACCAACACCAAGGTCAGGATTTTCAATACAAAT